GGGGGCCCCTCGCCCTCCTGCCCCCCGGGGGACTCAGGCCTCCCTGTGGTGGGTACGGTACTCCAGCCTCTGCCTCCTCTTGGCCCACTCACAGCCTTGGCATCTCCTGTCTCTCAAAGGGACGTCTGGGACTGGATTTGGCCACACGGAGAGCCCAGGACGTCGGGCCGGCCGGCTTCCCTCCCACTCGGCAGACACTGTACCACGGTGTGGCCCCCAGCCCAGCCGGCAGAGCTGAGCCAACCTGCCCACCGGCCTCTGAGCCAGCAGCCATGCTTGCCCCGCCTGCCCTCTGCCCTGCCCGGTGAGCTGGCCCTGCAGGACAGGCACCCTGCCCACCCACCGCAGGCACACCAGGACTGGCCGTGGAGGACAGAGGAAAAGGTAGGGGCCTCTCTCATGCCTGGCCCTCCCTGGGGCACCACCTCCTGGGGCTTGGGGAGCTGCTGCCCTTAACCCAGGGCTGGAGCCTGCCGGATACTGTCCTGCTCCAGGAAGCCCAAACAGGCTGAGCCGAGCCTTCCCAGCCTCCAGACTTTCCCCGAGAGACTGCTGCAGACAAGGCTGTGAGCAGGGCCGGCCCCATGCAGACGGGCCAAGGACGGTGCGGCATACTCTTGTACTGGGGGTCCGTGCGCAGCTCCCTGGGGTCCACGAAGTACTGGATGAGCACGTAGAGCAGGAGGGCGAGCAGGCAGACCAGGCAGGCCGAGGCCGAGGCCACGGACAGGAAGAAGTACCTGGGGGGCAGATGTGGCTCGGGGCGTGCCAGGACCCCACCCAGGGGCTCAGGGCACGCCAGGCCTCCCCCCAGGGGTTGAGGCACGCCAGGGCATCCAGCCCAGCCTCAGCACAGACACAGCTCTCCCGCCCCCGTGCTCCGCCCATGGCCCTTCCTTGTAGCCCCCTCAGCGACTGCAGCAAGCCTGGCTCCCTGGTCACGCTGCAGCCTCATGCTCTGCGCCCTTCCCAGCTCACTGAATCCCCACAAGGAGGGGACACAAATGGAAACGGAGGGTCAGAGATTGCACAAGACCCACACTGACCCCACCAGCTTAGGGGTCAGCAGGAGGCAGGTCCCTAGTCCACAGTGATGGACGCCCACTCGTTCCCCAGATGGGGCTCCTTCCCAGCCTCAGCAGCACTCATGGGTCATCGTGTCCTGAGATTGTGGGGAGTGAGGCTCATAGTCCTGCCCTAACTTCAGAGCACCGGGAAGGCCATGCCAGCCACCTGAGGCCTGGGAGGGTGTGTGGGCTGCTGTATCCAGGAGGAAGTCAGAGCCAGGGAGTGCCCCGACACCTGGCCCCACGAGCCTGTGCACAGTGCACCCGCACGGCCGGCCCCACAGTGCAGCGCCAAGCACTGCGCATCGGAAGTGGGGTGCATGGGCCCACTGCAGTGTGACTCCCCATCCCAGCAGCTTGAAAACGAGCCAGCGTGTGCAGGCACGCCGCAAGTCCTGACGGGATGGAGAGTGGGGGAGCGCTGCGGCAGGACTGCACCCCACTGCGAGCGAGCTCTATCTCTAAGTGGACATATGCCCTCTGGCAAATTCTTCGTAAACGGTAAAACGACAGCGTATGTATGTGCACACTCGTCCAGACTAAGGTCGCACGCTTCAGACGTCAGCCCAGAATCGTGCCACACTTGTCTCTGTGCGAAAGACACACAATCCCTCTACTGAAACAAACATTTTCAAAGAGATTTCTGCTATAGGGTATGTGTGCTCACTGGAGAGACAGAGACAGAAAGAAAGTGAGAAGTCACCCCCCTGGGGGGATGGCCACACCACAGTCCCTCCTCCATTCGCCTCTCAGGAATTTGGGCACACATGCACATGTGCCTGGTGTGAGTTTTAAGCTGCCGGGTCTGGGACTCGAACCGTGGTCTACTACATGGGAGTCCAGTGATGTAACCATTACTCCACCTGCTGGTACCGAAACAAAAAAACTCTGGAGTAGCAATTCTCAGAATATTTTGGGTTGTTGAAAAAGACATGGTGTATTTTTTTCCCATTTGGAGAGGGCGGTGGGACCAGGGCAGCGAGCTCAGATGTCCTCAGACATCGGTGGCCCTGAGGGCTGGCTCCTCCCATCCTGGGGGAACTTCGGAAATCCTCTGAGATGAGCTTAGGCTGGCTGGCCCAGGGATGGCTCCACCCGGACTGGGAGGAGACCTGCTACGACCCATGTCCCCAACACCCTTACGCGCCCCGGGACTAGGTGGGGGCCTGCTATGATCCGCATGTGCCCAGGACTGCCCGCACATGCCACAGGACCCCCGCCGCCCACATGCACCCAGGACTGCCCACACACATCCTAGGACCGTCTGCACGCATCCCAAGACCACCCCTGCCAACCACACACATGTGCCCAAGACGGCCTGCCTGCACCCAGGACCACCCCTGCCAACCGCACACATGTGCCCAGGACGGCCTGCATGCGCCCAGGACCACCCCTGCCAACCGCCCACATGCGCCCAGGA